GAGAGATAGAGAGAGAGAGAGAAGAGAGAGAGAGAGAGAGAGAGAGAGGGAGAAAAAAAAGTGAAGAGAAGAGAATTTTATTGACCGTTTTTATGAGAATTATTTTTCATCGATGCCAATATTTAGATGTTGAGTGTTTGTACCGAGTGATTATTGTATGAAACAGTGATATCTCCGCTCATAGAGAAAGAAAAGGAAGAGAAAAAATGAACAGGATAAACGTAGTCGAATTTAGGATAGTACAGGATATTTAACTATAGATGTTCCATATTAACGAAACAAGGAAAAATGATTATTTATGTAATATATAGAGCGATAGAGATTTTTCTTTTCCATGCACTTTTTCATTTGTGTGCCGAGCGGAGATTCGCTTTGTGTCCATTAACCAAACCGAGCCTCGAAGCACCGTCCCTTTTCCTTCCTCCAAACATCACCGTATGAGCTGCAATAAACTCAAATTGTATATTTGTTCTTTTAAATAAATGATATTTGTTCGTATTAATTGAAATATTATATTATCATGTATTGTTTATTTTCTATTTTATGAAAACAATTATTAACGGAATTGTATATTGAATTAATGGTGTCAATCTTTATGAATTTCCGTTTAATAAATAATTTACGGTAAAAACGAAAAAAAAAAAATTATATTTAAAATCAAAATTAAAATTATTAATCTTATCATTGCAGCAACAATTATTTGTGTAAATTACAAAGATGAAATTGCTACTAAACCTGGCCAAAATAAAGTATTTTGAAATATTAAATGTTTTAAATAGTAGTTATTTTGTAAAAATTACATTTTACAATTTAAATAGTTAATATCAACCATATAAAGGATCGAGTGATTAAAAATAATTGCCATTTAATTTATCATTAAACTTATTTCGTTAAAGCCATGCAGTTGTAACGAAAAGTATTTTATCGCATTAATGATTAATTAATTTGCATAACACAACATTCTTATACTAACTGATATTAACATTTTTTAATATTTCTTTACATATGAATATTTTTTTTTAAACTTGAGTGGTTATGTTAAAACGATTTAAAATCTTTGAAAATCTGTGACGTCCATTACAAAGTTCCTTCGTGTCGTGGTGCACTTGACACTCGTACTAACTTTTGCAAATTAGAAATAAACATAATTATATTTAAAATCGTAACTTTATTTAAATATCATAAAAGTATTTGTGATTTGGAAGATCTTATTTTTACGGTGGTGTTTGGTCTAGATGTTTAGAAAATTTAGCTTAATGAAAAACAAAAATAAACGTATCTATGAATTTAATAACTTAGGCTGTAGATTATAGATAATGGATTAAATCGATATTTTATGAGAATGAAATTATATATAATTATATTTACATTAAATGTTATTAATGCGTTGTTTATCGAATTTAATTGTAAGTTTATTAACATTATTTGAAAATTTAATTTAAGAAACAAATATTTAAAAGAAATAATGATTATTTAATGTAACTTTAACTATATATAATTTTTTTCTTTTTTATAAGAGAAATTTGCATATAGGTGATGAGAAATATATATATATATATATATATATATATATATATATATATATATATTTGTGTGTGTGTGTGTGTGTGTGTGTGTGTGTGTGTAAGTGATTAGGTAAAAAATGAAATATATATATTATAATGTTAAATTATTTTTAAAATTACATTATTTTTTATATTAAATTTTGTTTCTATGAAAATTTCTTTATATATGATTGGTATATCCATAGAAATAATTTTATAACAAATGAAAAATTGTTTAAGATTATCTTATTTAAAATGTGACGAGTAATGTAATTTTAACATTTTAACATTATGCTTTCTTATTTTGTTAAAGCCATTTGTGAAAATTAACTATATACATTATAAATATAACAAATTAATTTTATTCAACTGAAATTTTACTAATGTGAAAGTTAAAGTTTTTTTTTTTTTTTTTTTAAAGAGATTGTTGTTTTGATAAAAATTCAAACTTATTTTTTCGTTGTTAAATATATAATTCTTTATTAAAGAAATTTATATTAATTTTTATTATACAAAATTTGAAATAAACATAAAACGACTTTTTAATTTTTTGTAAACAATCAAAAAATTGTACTTGTAAATAATGTAAATGCACTATAGTAATGTAGTGTTGTATGAATAAGAATTTTTCAAACTTATATTATGAAAAGATATAGAAAAGGCTCTTTATCTTCATAAAAAAAATTGAATCAAACAGAAAAGATTGAAAATTCCACGATTTTGATGTTTCGAAACATTTGTGTACGGATCTAGAGATGATTCAATCAATGAAGTAATGAAGTACGTGATATTTAAATTTGAATTTAAAGTTTATATACAATTTTGCTTAATTGTCCATTGGATTTGTAAGACGTCGTTATTTATAATCATAATTAATTTTGTAACATAAAATGAACAAATAATAACCATATTTGTAACTCAAAATTTTCACTTGTATATTTCATATGTATATCCTTTTTCAAAATTTAACGCAAATGAGCTTAGTTTTAAATTGGCGTTTTTTTTTAAGAAAAATATTTTTGTTCTCAATTTTTAAAGTTTTAAGCATGTTTTAACGAGTAGTTTCAAATAAATATTTCGATCAAATTACATTTTCAATTTGATACTATTTTATAGTGAAATTTTGATATTTATGTTCAAGTTGCTTTATGTACGAATTAAATTTTTTAAAGCTATTTTGATAAATTTTATTATATATTTTCATTTTCATAAAACATACTGAGGCAATATAATAATGCTGAGAGTTATGTTAATATTAATAATTTCTTATCATTTAATTTGTTCTATTAATTGATATTTAATTTCATACTGAATTTACTACAGAAAATTATTCATAATACAACCATAGATAAATGATCTTAATAATATGAAATGTTCATTACGTTTGAGTAATTAATATTCAATTATTTAAGAATCATTGAACTATTCTATAACGATCATCGGCAAGCAGTCAATTAAACGCATATGTTCGATATTCCGAGAATCTCTCGAGTTTTTAGACTTCGCGAATTTCACAAGCGTTAGAATTTTTGGAAAAAATCTCAAGTATTTTTTTGTGCAGACTCTTTCTAGCACCACAATCGCCTCCATTTTTATCAGCGCTAAGTTGTCGCGTGGGTATTTAAAGCAAGTACGCTTCGAGAAAGCGCTCTCTGTCCAACAGGCTGTCTCTTTTAGTGAGTCGGTTATAGAGGGATCAAGCTCTGTCTTAGCATTGTCGCCATAGAACAGTCGCTCTCTCAATGAAGCCATTACAAAGGGAACACACGTCATTCTTCTGTGCGTTTGAATCTGCAGTAACAACTTAGTGACACCATCTACTCCCTTTCAAGAAAAATATTACACTTCAAGAAGCATAGTGTCGAAACATTCTTTGTGACGGAATGTGCCAAGTCTATTGCTAATCCTTAGAAGATCAGCAATGGCATCGTTACCATCATCACGGAGCCTGTCATGACGGTGAACTGCTCATCATAGGGATCAGGCCAATATAACTACATCGCTGTGAGTAAACATAGAGTAAACATAATAAACATAGTGAGTAAACACACTCTTCTATTACATAAATCCAACACATCAATAATTTAATTGTAAATAAACCATATTTAACGATGGAAGGTAGTGCATCTTACCAGTGCCCTGCACACGTGCAACTTCGAAAATGTAACAATTATATTTTCATCACTGCATACTATACAGCCCACTTCCCTATGTAGTAGTAACGCACCACTAAGAACATCGCAACAAGAGGTATCCGAAGATTTATGACCTTCTACCCCTTTGCAGTGCAAACCAACAATAACATGTCAACCAAAGAAGGCACGAAAGAAACAGATATTAGGAAACGCAGAAAATCCACACTCAAAAGTTCCTCACCATCACCATTACCCTCGAAGCTCGTTTTCAACCTTAACTTCAGGTAACGATAGGAGTCGTTAATTGACACATCCACCTCATGCCCGTGTCTTGATCAACTAAAAGCCTTTTTAACGTCTCGGCAGAGGGCGTTAAATCAAGATGAATCAATGATAGATCACCCTGTTATCAACTTAAAATCCATTGGGGCTAGCACGCCATTTTGTTAGAGAACAACAGAGGATCAACAGAGCTCTACAAGATTCTGGAAGATCGCATTTTTGTCACAAAGTAGCCGGGTGATGTCTGCTGTGGTGGCACTATTCCTTTACACTTTATCGTATATAAAGGACGTGATACCATATATGAATATTCGTGATTAACAACCACCCTTACCAGGGTCTCAATACATGAACAGATTTCCCGAGGGGTTCAAGTTGTCAGTCTTCAAGAAGGAGCGCAACACCTGAATGCAGCATCAACCAAGGATGTCTTACAGTCCATCCAATGGAAGCTTGAAGATTTACTTCGAGTAATGAAGGATGTGCTGGCAATGGTAATCTGCATCATAAAGTCGGGCACTGTTGGGCCCGCATTCAAAAATATCTGACCTGAGGCCACTGATAGAGTGGGTTGCTTTACGCCAGAGAATATTACTAATTTCTACGAAATTAAATCGATCATGGAAGGTGCTCCTTAGTTGGAGGATGCTTATGATCAGAAGCGAATGGAGGCCGAAAGCATATGGGTTGACTCAGAACAGTAGTGGAAGATGGCCTCGAATAGAGGAATAGGATCTTAGGCAAAATCAATAACATAGCACCGTGGAGGGATGCCTACTCAAACGCGCCCCGGTCTACCTAGGATGTACAGACATCCCGATGGTAACGATCGGGGATGCCATTCGCGAAACCGATCGCATGGAGTGACAACTGCTAGAGGTTGTCTCAACAACTAGCTCAGAGTGGGCCATCTAATAGGTCAATCAAATATACGATAGCTTTATTATAGTTTGCCGCCCGTCCTAACGGATGCTTGGGAAGAACTTAAGTGGAAGGGCTGTAGAGATACAGTGTGTGTATACAGATACGTGGGGCTCCGTGATGATGGTGAACTGTTCATCACAGGATCATATCAATATAACTGCATCGCTGTGTGTAAACATAGTATACACTCTTCCATCACATAAATCCAACACATCAATAATGTAATTGTAAATGTACCATAATAAAACATATAAGTTCTTCGCTAAATTACGATGAAGTTATCGAACAAGATGAAATAGTATCAATCTATTATCATATATTCATCTATTATCGATAAATAGTATTATGCCCCTTAGCGTTTTTATTTTGATGTGATATATATATAAAACCAAATTTCATTTTCACTTGTGCAAACTTTTAAGCAACATCTTGCTCTGGATGAAACAAGTGTATGCGGAGAAAACAGAGATTTAGAAAGAACGACTACTACTACCAAGTAGCGAGTACTGCTGTGAAATGTAACATACACAGGCATAGGTAGAGGCGCACGTACATGGGCACGCACACGTCTCTAAGTTTGCCATTGGGAGCGCCATAGTGACTTTACGTGAGCTGTAACGATTATGAAAAACAAGCAACTACTTGCTCAGACCAGCTTATATTGTCGATATGATAGAGCAATATGGACGCAAGATATTATCCAATACACATTCAAGGCAGGTTGCTGCTGTGGCAGGTACTAACACGAGAAATGCGGTGCAGTTTGTAACAAATTGTCGACGTTGACACGTACAGGTTAGAATAACTTTTGTTAATTATGGTTTCCTTTCGATTGCTATATTCTCCTGCCAGATTAATAATCATGTAATTTTAATAAATACAGTTTTAGAGAGGGAAACGACAAGATATAAATTAATTGTCCTCGTAGTTAGGTAAAGAATCAGAAATAATATAATTCTGTGATGTTGTTTTAAACCATATGGTTTTAACAGAAATTTTTTCTTTTAGATGCTGCTTCGCAATCAATGGGAATATACAATTATTTGATATTTCTTAGGTAGTTCGACGTTTCAAATAGTGACAGTTGTTATTATTAAAAGGAGCTGTAAGAATTAGTTGAGATATTGGAGTTAATATTGTTTTTCCTATTTTATAATATAGATTATAATTATATATAAAAATTTATTCTTCAGACGGTTTTGACAAACGAATGTAAGGGTATCGAGCAAATTAAAGCTAAAAATTAACATTATGTTTCTTGCTAAATATTAAAGCATAAGTATTAATACATACGCATAGATAAAATAATTTCATTATATATAAATAATACATAGTTTTCTTTCACTTCGTTTAATTCAAATAATTTGCAAATGTACTCGATTACTTATTTATAATTTTTTAACTTTTAGCTTCTTATCTTTAAAAATGAAAATAAGTAATTTAAGAATAAAATTACTAATTTCTGTATTTATAATAGTATTTTTATGGCAAATTTCTAAACTATGGGTATACTATTTGAAACAATCAAGCTCAAAGGAAATTGATAAGAAGCAAAAATTTGAACCAATACTCGTTACAGTTTATTATGAAGCATTGTGCCCTGATTCAAAATATTTTATTATCAAACAAGTAGTACCAACGTTTAACAGTATAGGGAATTATATTGAGATACAATTAATTCCATATGGCAAGGCAGAAACAACAGTTGTCAAGGATGATTATACATTTGAATGCCAACATGGAGCGGTCGAATGCGCAGCCAATATCATTCATGCATGCTCGATCAACAAAATTAAAGATACTAGAAAACAATTAGAAGTAGTAGCTTGTATGATAAAAAATAATATGCATCCCATGTCTATTTTAAGAAGTTGCACTAGTCAAATGGATGAATATAAGTCAATAGTAAATTGCGCACAATCTATCGAGGGAAGGAGACTTTTAATGAAGTATGGAGAAATCACAAAAGCTTTAGATCCTGCGATTAATTTTATTCCAACGATTACGCTTGATAGTGAAATGGATAATCAAATATTAATTCTTAAAAATTTATTACGTCAAATATGTCAACGTATAGAGATACCACTAAAAGAATGTAAAAGTTAAAATCTATTTCGACAATTTTTAAACGTTTTACTTTGTTAGAATTATTATGAAATGCAATATAAATATAAATATACAATTTTAAATATACGGTCATATAACTATTTTAAGATACATATTATGACCGTATAATACGTTACAAAAAAATATTTAGTTTTATGTATAAGTTTTCATATTGTTTTACATTTAAGAACTTTGTCATTTATAAATGATACGTTGTTAATTTTACTTAAAATTTTCAGAAAAAACAATTTTTATGCTTGGAATATTTCCAAAATCTGTCTGTATTTTGCTATTCAGAATTTATTAATTTAAGTATATATGCCATTAATTTTCTTCTTTTAGCGGAATCTCTGATTATATACTGATTTACAATATCTTTTAATTATTTGATATTTATACCCTGTATTTAAAGTTCATAATTTGAGATTAACAATTAGCAATTAACGATAAACAAAGAAATGAACCTTATTATGAAACAATTTATAAATAATCTTGTTTCATGAATTTCTGTTTATACAAATAACACAATATTCTTTTAATTTCTACATAATTTTTTTATTGTTTTATCTTACAGTAATCTATATGTTAATCGACAAAATACAATTTTCTATGTTATATGTATGTGAGTAACCGTATGCAGGCATACCAATCTGTGCGGCATATAAAAAAATATGCACAATTTTGTTAATTATATTTTTTTATTAAATTATTAATAAATAATTAAACATGTGTGAATATTTGTTTTCCAAATATTAGGTTATTGTTAAATTATTTTTTTAAGAATAATTGTAATATATATTTAATACTATGTATACAGGATCAAAAGAAATGATAATAGTAACGATAAATGTATACTTAGTAGTTTACGAACAATATGAAGAAAATAGATTAATTTAATAGGGATAATTTATAAATAAAATACGGAATTATTTATGTATTTGTATTGATACTGTTTTTGAATTACAAATAAAAATAATTTTCATAAATACTATTCGTTATAAATAAAATGCATTATACCTTTGTTTATTCATTTATACATTAATCATAAAAAATTACAACGCAACTATTAGTCTTATAACTTATAATTTATTATAGCTATATTATCGCTTAAAATACTATTAAATAAATGCTACATTTTATGTGATATTTGGTGTAGATTTTTTCTATGAAATTAATACCAAAATCTGAAGGAATTTCTTTATTAAAAAATTGAATGATTTTTTAAAAATCTTTTATCTTTACGAGCTTTTATCTTTGAGCAATAATTAATTCATTAAAATCGTCTATGAATGTCCTCGTAACTGAAGTATCTACTAATTAAGATCATTTAGAAAACTTTTGATTAAAATTGAAAAGCCTTCTTACGAATTTTATTTATATTACAATAATTAGCTAAGATTTTTGTAGAATAAATTGTTTTATCTCATTGTCTTTTTATCTACGTATCTACGCTTCTTTGTTATTTATTAAAAAACATAGACATTACTTACTATGAGATGAGAATTTCTTTTATACGCTAGAGTTTAATATATATATATATATATATATATATTAGCTACAAGAGTTAATGATACAAATAGTTATTTAAATAAAATATTCATCCTTTGTTATCGTGGTGAGCTCGAATTCCATCATTTAACGTAAAATTATCGAGATTTTCAGACGATCGACATTTCAATCAAAACTCATAAAGTCTAAATAGAAAAAAAAATATGAAAAATTATTAAGGCGATAAAAGCACGCAATAATGTGATGGGATTTAAACTTAAATCATCGAGGTGGATAATTGAGGTAGTACCACTAAGAATAAACATCTCTTTACATAGGATCTTTCGTGCATATTTCATATATATTTTCAATGCTATCGCAATGTGTCGAGAATTAATATTTTCTGGAATGATGAATTCTTAAGGCATGGTTCAAGTGACTCCCAAGTCTCCATATTTGTATTTCCGACATTTTAGCATAATGTTGTACGCACGAGGATATAACGAACATTGAACTCTGATTATCGCCGATTTGAATAAACTAGCGACATAGCAATTTTCTATGATTTCTTCCGATGTTTTTTTTTAAGGCCACTACTACGCGCAAGTGGGAAAATGTAATAAGACTATGTATTATGAAGGGACGAGGATGTCCGTCTAGAATATTTTAGCCCTTTCTATGCTTTCAGCTATTCTCATTCGTACTACTATTTACACATAACGTCAAATGACATTCGCAGTGTGACATTTAGCATACTTTTATACAATAATGTAAATACATAAAGTAATATTATAATCTATGTACTATGTTTTATTTATTTGCAGTGACATTAATACTGTATTAGTCTACTAATGTACTGACTAATTACTACTCGATTCTAATTAATGCTATATTTTATTATAAAGAACTTTATGAAAAGATTTTTCAATGTTTGCAAAAAAGTTTATACTTTAAGTAATGTAAAATAAATAAAAAATAATTACAATGCAATAAAAATACTTCAATACTTTATATTTTAATTACTTTATACCAAATATTTGTTCGTAAAAGGGACCTTTTTTTAATGTTTTTTTTTTTATTTTTTTTGTTTGAAAGAATACGTTCTAATGATGTGAACTTTATTAGATTTTGAAGAAAAAAAAATATATATATATATATATATATATATATATGTGTGTATGTAGTCATTGTGTTAATACTTTAAGGGGAGACATTTTATAATAACTGTTTTTCAATTTAATAACATTTATATGTAAATATTAATTTTAATAATCGTTTATTAAATTAATGCCAAGCGTGTGCAAAGAGAAAAGAAAGGAGGATAAAAGCAATCGATGTAAGCATGAATGTAAGCATCAATGTGCTTACATATCAATCACAGACAGCTTTTTCACATTTTTTTTAGATAAATTTTCAATAAGCCATTTGAAAATGTAGCTATCCAGAGATCGCCACTACATTATATCTTATCTGATAAAGATACTTCCAGTATACTCCCAATATATATTTTATAATATGATTAATAATTTAATAATCTTTGCTTGTTAATATTTAGATAATTTTATTCCAATCGGTCTCAGGGATGTCAGTCGATGCTTAAGCTTTTTAATTAAAAATTTAACGAAACTTTCTCTACCTACACACGCATACAAATAAATAATATATCTTATTGAGAAAACTTATAATTTCAATTATGAGTTATATATCATTATCGTTTCAATTATTCTTTGCAAGTCACAAGCTTTCATTTTTAACTTCATTTTAACAAATCTTGTTTTATTTTATTTTTATAATATTTCTCTTGCAGCATTATACAGCATCACCGCTGATGATATTTATTATGTTATTTGAAATTATATTATTCGATGAGACGTTGATATTTCTTTAAGAAAAGTGCTAATAAATTCACATCCAACATCTTGCTAACGAACTTGCTTATGCAAAATGGCATAATATAATTTATCGAGGAGCGAATAACATTATTTTTTGTATAAGAATAAGGTATGCGCATGAATGTATACTATGAAATAATGTGATTACATAACTATATGTTTAAATTTAACTCGAAGTAAATCACAAATAATCCGAAATAATAACTGTTATTATGAAAAGAATTTCTGCTTCAATTACAGATATCCGTAGACGTGGATTTTACCGTTAATTTGATCATTCATTTTATTAAAGGAATTTAAACATAAAATTACATAATATAAATGTATAAAATGACTGAATAGCTTAAAAGTTAATTTTGTTTTAACAAATTGTATATTAGTACGGGATTTCACGGGATTGCAAGGAGTATGACATATGTGTATATATGAGACAAAAGGAGAGGGCCGACAGAGAACAATGTAAAATGATATTTCAATTAGCATACGTGATTTTGATTAATTTAACTCGAATAACATTTTTTACAATTTATTATTTAATTATATAATTATATGTCTGAATAATGAATATTCTATTGCTTGATATAAAGGAAATATTAGCTCTCGTACTCTTTATTGATAATAATTTTTCGTAGGAGAAATTTTTATTCTATAACTATGAAACTCTAATGAGTCGATAATATATTTCTTGCTTTAATATCTTTAATAATATATTTAATTTAAACTAAATCTCACCATATAATCTAATAATGAAAGCGAATTAAGTTTGTCGTGCGATAATTATATATCGCGAAAGAAACTATTTAAGTCCTTTGCCACAGGTTTCTGAATTATTAAAACAGTGCATACACATTAAGAATTTATTATCCATTAGTTTATTTTACAAAAATAAATATTTATTAATTAATTTAGTAAATTCGTTTTACTATTCGCGCATATATAATAATAAGGGATGTTATACATAAAACGAACATGCTAAATCGAATAATTATAAATTTTGAGTACAATTATTGCACGGTGATATAATTTTATCGATGTTGCAGCCCTTACACTACGTTTTTAATAAATAAGTCATTTGAGAAAATAAATATTAGTCAATCGTAATACCCGTAACTTGCATTATGAAAGAATTATATTCGTAAACTCGAGTATATACATCTGGTACACCAGTGGCGCATGGAACAACGAAAGATGCAATGCCAATGATTTCTCCATTACTAATTAATGGGCCACCACTGTCACCCTGTAAAATTTTTATTTTACATTTTATTTTAAATATAATTGTTGCCGTCTATATTATAAATTAATAACGTAACAATAATAATAACATTGAAGTAGTGCCCGCGGAGGCACAATATCACCCTAACGGAGATTGATCGTACGAAATATAATTATTTTGAATTTCCATGACTTACCCTGCACGCACCAATTCCTCTCCTTTTGAATGCACATAACTGAGTATCAAGTATATTAATGACAAGCAAGTCCGAGCAGAGATCGCTATCAATAACTTCCATTGTGGCCTTTTGTAAAGTTGCGGAGAGTGCATTCGATGGATAGGAGGTAAATCCCCAGCCACTGACAACGCCTTTTTGTCCTACATAAGCTGGTCTACGGGGAAGGTTGACTTTGTTTCGAAATGTGCCTAATTCGAGAGGTTCATCGAGCTGGAAAAAAGTTGCTTTAGCTGGAGGAAATGCGCTTATTATTCAACAAACGTAAACACATTTTTCTATTGATAATTAATTTACTCAGTTGTATTTTACGAGTAATTACGAGTAATCTTTATTTGGTCTTAATTATTAAATGCTGACAAATGTATGAAAAATCTCCTCCTCTAGAATAATCTTTTTTTCTAAAAGAACCACGACAAATCATTAACGTGATAATCGACGAGATATTGCCTGTATTATTTATATCTGTTATTTATGTAAAAATTGTACAGTATATTGCATCCGTGGAATATTTTTTTCATTTTTTGTGAAATTAAATTTCACTGTATAATTTTTTGTTCATTGTTTATAAGGGAGAATTACTAGAAAATAGAAAACATAATTTTAGTCGGCTAACGTAATGATGCGACGAGTTGCCGAATTATATTACGTTTATTTATTCGCTTTCATTTTTGTAACATTTGAGTAACTAACGCTACTTATTCAATAACTGAGAATTTATTTAGGATACTTACAAAGATTACGGCGATATCGTGGATGTAGCTTCCGTAGTCTTCTTCTTTCCCCGTAAATCCCTCATATATGTGAACATGTATAATCCTTGACTCGTATTTCCTACTTAATATAGAATTAATTCCAGAATAGATTCTTATATCGGATAAGAATTTATTATAAATACAGTGAGCTGCCGTTAGGACATGCGATGCGCTAATAATTGTACCACCACCGATCAATTGATTGGTTGTATAATTTTTCAACGCTACTTGATAAGGAATTTGCCTTATGTGTACATTATCACCACCCACTATTCGTTTTTTTTTCCCTAAAATACCTACGAATAAAAATATTAAGCTTTTGATATCGTTAATTGATGACATTGAATACTTATTTATATAAAATAAGGTACAAAGACGAGAAATGAAAAATTATTGAAATTTTTTATTAGCAGACTCCATGAATTTATCATTCAATGAATCTCAAAATGTCTTCGTTTTAATATAATATAGATCAATTCATCTATATTATTGAATCAACAGATTCTAGTTGATATACATTCTTCCGATTTATATGGAATAAAATACATATTTGTATATAAATACGTAATTATTTCTTTATTTATTTATTTATTTATTTATTTATTATTATTATTATTATATTATTATTATTATTATTATTATTATTATTATTATTAGTAGTATCAAAAAGTTTTTTTTTTGTCATTATATTAGATGTTAATTAAATGAATTATCTGTAATAAAAGAATTATAATTAGAATTATAATAGTTGTACACTTTAGATTTAGTAGAAATTCCTTTATATATTTTCATTTAGATAGAATAATTCAATTATTTTACTGTTTCTTTATATTTAAAAAATATAAAGTATTTTCGTAAAAATTATAATCAAATGAAAAATTAGGTTCAATTTTATATTACAATAAACATAAAAAGAATAAATATAAAAACAATTTAATTTAAATATATGAGAATGGAAATTTCTATTTCTAATTAATTTTACGTACTATATATATATATATATACAATGCAAAACACCAAATTCTATTGAAATTTTTGTTTTAGGTTTCAATAGTTATTTTTGTTGTTGTTTTTTTTTTTTTCAAAGTATATTTTCCATAATCTATAATATTTACAGTGCATTTGAAATTCTGAATTTATATTGAAATTTCGAATAATAGGGTAAAATTGATATGATTACCGAAATAATTTTATTTTTGAAAATAAATCTTATTTCTAATGATTGTCAAAAATTATTTAATTTTTTTCATTATGTTTTAATAGCTGTTTGCAAATATCAATTCTAAATTTTTAATTTTTATCTAAAATGTTGAACTACAATGTCAGTTACACATAAGCATATTCATATAAAAATATTCGCAAACACGCGTACAAACGTGTAAACACATGGGTATTAGAATTTTTATTACTTTATATTATTTAAATAAACATTTTAATACCTTAAATAATATTTTAACACTAAATTTCATAATTTAATTATATCTTTTGTTAACACACAGAGTATCCGCAAAAAAGTTTGGTGCATTTATAATATTTTTTAAATATTTAGATATTATTTAGATTATTATTTGCATACGAGAACGTGGATAAATGTAAGATGATTATTTTCATCGCGTCAGAATTAATTTTTTAATTATCTTAAAAAAAAAAATTTAATAATAAAGAGAGAATAGATCAATTATTGAAGAGAGATAATTGCAATTTTTTTTAAATACAATTAAATAATTACAATATATCATAATAAGTTTACCAACACTATTTATAATATTTACTTTGACTTATTAACTTTTTATTAAATTTTTGCTAATTTAATTTAAATATGATTTTAAATTATACCAAATTATTGTATTTTATATTATAAGGATTTATCACATATTTAAATAATATTAGTTTGCTACATTAATAATAATTGATTAAAATTAATTAGGATTATTGATTGAGTTTGACTAATATGAATAATTTATTTAAAACTAATTAGTTGAATTTACCTGCACTTAATTGTAGGCACAAAAAAAACACAATTTTATAATTCATTTTTCTAATAATCTTAATGAATAATAACTGTTAAGGAATTAGATTAATATAACTATATGTAGTAATTCGATTAAATACTTATTCGGTTTTATTCAAATATTTTTTAAACCTATTTTTGTGTCACCTTATATCACTATAAAGCATTAGTTGACATAATGATTATACAATAAGCTAATTAAACAGTATATACTTTGATATTATCCTTGTGTAAATTTCTTAAATATTCATAAATATGAAGCAATAAAATATATACTTGAATATTATATTAGATCAATATTTAATTAACCTTCGAGACTTTTCATAATTAGTGTACATACATTGATAGGATAGTACCACAAACACTATGTATGTAACTAGAAATTATAATAGTCAAGCAATTAATACTTAGCCGTGTACCTATATTCATTAAATTTAAATAACAATAAAGGAATTATGTATTATTTATTTATTTATTGTTTGAAATAAACAATGACGTACAAATCAATGTGTATTTAGATGTGCTTAGTTATAATACTTTAAATTGATTACATTACATTTTCTTATAATGTATCTTTTATATTAAAATGTTTTTTGGTAAACCTTTGGTAATACCTGAATTATTTATTATTTATCAGCTGTTCCTATCTAGAATTTATTTACATACAATTTGTAATAATTTATTATTTCATAATTAATTTTATAACAGACCTAGATCGAATTTTATAAATATATCATTAATGTCATTGGGCGTGTACTTACTATCGAGATACAATTTGGTTGTACGGACGACTTGAATAATCGAGTACATTAGACATTAATAATGTAGATTTAGTGGAAGAAAAAAAAAACATGTAAAAAAAAAAGTGTTTTCGATATTGACTTTTGGTTCAATCAAATTGTTTACATTTAAACCCCTTTTATTTTCTTTTTAAAAAATTATAGTTTTTTTTTTTTTTTTTTTTTTTTTTATAGAGGTCGAACATCTAATAAAAAAATTAGTTGTCTACGTATAAAGGAATAACTACGATGTTATTAATTAAATTAATAATACATATATTAATATATTTGCGTTAATGCTGAAATTATTCAATAAATTACTAGTACACTTGCATGACACAATAAAATATAATTGACAGGTAATTAAATAACATTAACTTAATGAAATTAAAAATAAGTGGAAAAAATAAAAGACATCGTAAATAAATAATTATTTTTTTCAATTTTATAAACAGATGTATGCTTTTGTACTAAAAAATATTTGCGTATAAGTCAAGTATAACAAAAAATCAATAATAAGTCAAAGGGACTAGAGATTGAGTTCAATAGATGCAATTCATAAATAATCGGAAATTGAATTCGATCGATATTAATTTAATTAATTGATAAAAGAGCTGAAAGGTCAAAACTGCCTGACTATTTATTGATTTATCGTTTAAAATTTAACAGATGCTTAATTTACAAAATCGATAAGCGAACCAATGGTAATTATGCTAAAATTCTGTTAAGGATTAGAACTTTTAAATATATAGTTTTAGATAATACAGTTTTAGACTAATTACTCTTTAAGTTAACAGTCAATAAAAACAGCATAAATAATATCATCTGTTTTGTTAAAATTTGTTATGAATAATACGAAGTATAACTATTTAACTTTCTATTATTAAATTCCTATTAAAACATTTGCAAAATTTAATTAGAAATTAATGAAAGGAGATGAGACACTTTCATTTCATTTATTACTTAAATATTATCATGTCTAACAGTTTAAAGGAACCATTACTACTTTAACTACCCTAGTAATAAATAATAATAAACTCCAGTAGACTCTTATACAGTGTCAATCAAATTTCAATTATTGAATTTTTCATTAATAACTCTTGTACGTGAATACCTTAATATTTTCATGGTATTTAAATAAATATTCAGATGTAATTTGAAAATAATAATACACCGACCAATATAAGTGTATATGGCGAATGAGTGTATGAATAACAAATTCATCGACGAATTGCATTATTTATTGATATTCCAGTTAAATTAATCGACTGGAAAACTATAGCCGAACTGCTTTTAGCTGTAATTCATTATTAAATTCATAAAGTTTATGAAAATAAGTGCAAAAAGAACAATATAAGTAGTATTACCACTTGCAGGCAATTGATAAACATACGTAGATTTAAAGATTTTTGTACTAACGCTATTGACAATATGATCCCAACTACATGAAAATCATTAATGCGAATAATATATGCTAACATATAACAAATTTTATTAATAAGCTTGATTATAAATATTGTATTGAACTATTAACTATTACTTGAAAACTAAGTACAGTTGTTAAAATTGTTAAATTGATAGCATAACGATAAAATTAGTAAAAACAATAATGATATTCAAATTTTTAGTATTATACTTTTCTATTTTATGTTTATATAAGAAACAATGTATAGTATACCAGTTGATTTTAAATGGGTATCGATGTCACTCTACAAATTATGAATTAAAAAACATTTCTTAATATGTATACATACGCTTAATAATTAAGCATTTAAGCATATAAAAAATAATTTTTTAATTTGTAAATAACCAAATAATAAATTATCAAAAATCTGACAACATTTTAATTGTTTTCTATTAATTTGTCTTTTATTTATCAAAAAAAGATATCTAATATATATTTTCAGAAATAGCTAAGAAAAAATTAAAGTTTCTATTGATAATATCCTTGATAAAAAGGTATCAGAGTTTCCGAAATAAAAATGAGAGCTATAAAATTTTTAAATGCAGTAACATAATTGAACAAACAACTACGTTGACCTTGAGTTTCAGTATTTCTGCTGAATTTCATTATCTTTTTCGTGGCATAATAAATTAAATAAATAATTTGAATTACATTAACTTTTGTGATACTTATTTAATTCTTATTAAATTTTTGTAAAGATAAATATAATACTTAGTTTCGGATAATATTAGTAAAAATATATTTATTTTTCATTTTTAATTGGCTTATTCGTACTTTCTGGGGAGCACTTTGATGCTTATTGATACTATTTATATTATTTACATAGCAATGGTACAATATATATTTAGAAATTTTGTTTCTGCCATAAAAGTGTTCATTATTCAAGTCAATATATGAATTGTTTAACATATACATATTCAAATTTATAGAAAAATATATAAAAAAAATCTTCAAAAAAAAAAAAAATAATAAAATAATAATAATAATAATAATAATAATCAATTATCGTTAAAAAAGGTTGAAGAAAAATATTCATTTGTAAATATTTAACTTATATTTATGAATGCACTAACCTTAAAAATGGATTGATTAAGTAGATTTTCAAAATCATTCATAATATAATTTCCATAAAGTGACGCTCACGTCAACTGATTTATGCTGTGGAATTGTGGAACTGTGGAATTAACTTATTGAATTAACAAAATTGATCACGGACCTCGGAGTACCTATCGTATTAATACCTAATTAGAATATTCAATAGCTTTCAAGATATGAGAATGTAATAACTTGGAAAACCCGAAAACAATGTTATTATTATTATATCATATAGAATACAATATTTAAATGTAAACATAATTATAAATGGTTTTTATAAAGGAAGAGTTAGGCATACACGAGTCGGAATAATAATTTAGGAGGGAGAACCTTTTCATATTTTCTAAATATCTTGGTGCCCTTAATAAAAACGTGTCATGTTATAATCATTATTTTCATTTGTTCGATTTTTTTTTCTCCAGAAAAGCAGCTAATCGCGTTTATTTTAGCTATTCATAAATGTTCTTTAATAAAGAAAAATTTAAATCAATTCAAGTCCAATAAATATTATATATTTTTTATAGGACACAACATACATTAAATTACAAATACATTTGTAATGATATTGGTATACAATTAAAAAATAATAGCTATAGTCGACAGTTAATTAGTAAAATAATAAATTCGAACGTATAATAATTTATCGACAATAGTTTATATCGTATAATATCTTTTATAGTTATTATGAATATATAATATTAAAAGTTCCAGGATCTTATTAATATGATCGAATGTAATATAAATTTTCGTGAATTTCTGAATTGATAAATGAATTTATAAATTAATACAAACGGCAATAATTGTTCCAGTAGAATCCAAATCAATCAAAATAATTTAATATTTGTTAAGATTTGTTAAGAGACGGAATGATACAATACTTTTGAAATCTTTTTTAAATATTGCAGTTAAAATATTAGTACATAAAAATTTAGTAGAATTCTTAGGGGCTAATTAATAAGTTACATTTGAAACATACATTTTCTGAGAACAGGAAACAAATAAAATTAAACGCAAGTCAATTTAAGACTAAATATATGCTGATTTGATTGACATTATTTAAAAAAATTAGTATTAAAATATAATCAATAAATATTTGTTATTATGATATAATGATATATAGTGATCAATTCGGTAATATTTTTTCATTGATATAAATATAGACAAAATTCATGGTATCCGGATATTGTTTATTTAATTTATAATTTTTATTATTTTTGATGTAATTATTCATTTACTCAATATTTTTTATAAACGAATTCTGTGTATATTAATTTTGGATTACATAGTTAAGAATATGAAATTTTATTTTAAAAACAAAATTTTATCAATTTAAACGTAAAAAATAACATTAGATTAGATTACATAAAAAATTTTAAGTGAAAATTACCAATATTTAACTCATCGAATTATTTTTTCATATTTATAATACATAATTTATAATTTTATACATGTAATTTATAGTTATTAAAATATTGTCTTTTTAAAATCCTTTAAGTTTATTATATGACCCTATTATATAATATTCATTTTAAAATATATTATTTTAATTTAACGTTATAACAAAATAAAAATTTTTGAAAATAACGAAGAAATAATTTGATAATTGACAGTAATATATATGTAACAACAATTTAACTGATATTTTAAATATTTTACTACAACAATTGATTAACGAAAAACCAAT